CTTGTTTCAAAAGCTAGCATTATGTTTGGATTTTATATAAATCACCTCAAAGAATCTTGTGCTGATCGCTGACGGCAAAAGATTTAACATTAATTAATAATAATAATTTTCAGAATACATTGCTATACTCTTTACAAATGATTGTACTATGTATTTATTTTAATAGTAATACTTTCAGATTAAGAATTATATTATTTAATTTATAATACTTATTTAAGATTTAATTCGTCTGTATTTTTCTTTATTTCAACAATAATAATTTGTTGTACCGCAAGTATTTGTAGCAACGAGAGTATTTTATCAAATAAATTATAATGCTCATTATACATTTTTTTTTTACAGATCAGATAACAAAACACAACTCTAGAAAAAATCAACCCCGAGAAAAATTTGAGTCAATGCCACTGCATGACTTCTTCGAATATCCGAGGCTCCTCGGCAGCCTATAATTTCGCCTCGCCGCAGCAATTTGGTTACATCTTTTTACAGTGGAGGCGCATAATGAATGCCTAATGCGGCGGAGAGACACACTACTTGCACAAACACATACATACATACAGCCGAAGCGTGTATAAATCCATAAATTAGCCTCTGACGATTGAGACCCAACGAGAAGGCCATAAGAAACACTCACGCCACCGCTTCGGTTCCGCACTAATGGCAAAGGTGTAATTTACGGTGCGCTGCGTATATTTCATTCGGCTAATTCCTCCTCGACAGATAAATATCTAGAGTGGCAATTTGTATGGAAGTGCTCTCGCATTCATTGTTGGTCGTGTGTGTTTCTCTCCGCCCGCGCGTATCTCGCGATCTTGGCGATTTCCATACCAAACGCGGGCACAGATACGGAACCGCCATAATTTGTTTGCGGAATGACTCATTGTGAGATGAGCAGGGCTTTGTTTTTGCAGAAATGTTACGATCTTGCGCGTATTATTATTGTGCTTTTATAATTTGCTCCGTCCATTGTTATGCCAGAAGGGCGGAACGCTTTTAGCATAGATCAAGAAAATAAAGAGCTTGTGCGTTATAAGAAGATAAACCAGACCACCTTATCTCATCTGCATGATTTTATGAAAATCATGCATTTTTTTTTTACCTTTAATTAACAACAACCAGTTTATTTGATTTTGTATACATTTCTCTCATACTCATGGAAAAAATCACATTTTTTTTTGTAAGTTTAGTAGCAGGTGCTTCAATTAATGAGGTATGTTTTTAGTTGAATTTCTAGTCCAGATTGTAGATTTCAAAGTGTGAACAAGGCATTCCGACTTAGTTCCATCTTGGGCGAATTCAGCTCGCAACAATTAAAATACCCGCCGGTCTTTTTATGACCTGCAACACGGCGCGCATACCTTATTTCCACACAAATTCTTCTGCACGATTGTACAATGTAAAAATAGTCCATACCTTTCTGTATACAGAGCAGCTTGACCCAGCACATGGCAAATATATACAAGAGAGACTCCGCGCTCTGATCATGCAAGAATGTTTGAGTAACTCAAACAATAGAAATAAGAACTTGTTAAGGTCGCCGTTTTGCTGGCAAAGAAAAAGTTTTTTGCTCGTTCTCCATTCAGGAGCAGAGTCTTCTCATCTTTATTCTTTTGATCAGCGACCTTTGTTGAAATTCAATAAACGTTTTCTAGTTCTTGAGCGCAGTTTTTTTCCCTTTTGTGTGAGAAAAATGATATTTGCATTATAAACTCAATAATATATTCTGAAGATGAAGTGCGTGTCAGAAACCGTCAACTTTTAAATTTATTTAGTTTTGATTGATATTTATTGAGCTCTTTATTTGCCACAAATAATTATTGCGCTTTTCAGCAAGAATTTTTCACTTCACATTATCTGGAAGGAAGCTCAAAGGCGGCATCAGTAGGTAACAAATTTTTCTGCTTGAAGTTTGATCTAAAAAATTTAGTAGCAATTCTGTTGTTTAGGCAGTTTTATTAGCGCAGTGGCTGCTATGCTGAAATAAGGATTAATACAGCAATAATGCAATAAACATTCGCAATATTATTCTCTACCTGCAGCAGTATTTTTTGAAATTAAAGTATAGCTTTATTCAAATAATGATATATTTTTCCCATATCTGACTCTCTCTTTCAGTGGTGCTGATGAATTTTTGCATAACTTCATCTTATCGTATGAACAATGAAACACAAAAATTGAAAATTGATATTTTCAGTGAAAATTAATTTGTATCAACCACATGGAGCCAAATTGAAATTTTGTTATTCGATCTGAAGCCAAAAACACAAATTTCGCAGTGATATCTGATATGAATAAAACATATCAGCAATGAAATTTTTGTCTTCTTCATTTATATTTTCTGCTTTTCCTTTTAGAGCTTTGAAAGCCACTTTTATTTTCATACAATTACAATATGTTGAAGACTGTAGATGAAAATTATAATTATCATAATTTAACCACTAGACATGTTTCTGCATTAATTTTTCTCTCGTTAAAATATAATTTTTCTGTTGCGCAAGAGTTTTATCAATTATCTCACAAGTGAATTATAACGATATTGTCTTTGGAAAAAATACTTTCTATTTTGATATGATTTTTATTATACATAAAGAAATACGATTTCTTGAGATTTTAATGTGGGTACGCATGCAAAATGTACCAAACTTCCTGTTTTGACGCGAGTACAAAAAGAAAAATGAGTACTTCTTGCGTCCATTCATAAAAGAGCCGCACCCTTGTTTATTTGCATGGGTAAGTGGGTCGCGAGCTGCAGAAGAAGACGAGATGATGCTTTACTTATTTGCCCTGAGAGTTGACTAATTTTTCTTCGTCTTCCCTAACGGCGTGCCGAGAGCTTTTTGCCTGAGCAAACACACACGGTCATTTAAGAGAGCAACTAACTCGGGCCGCAGCACCCTTGGCTGTTGACACTCACAATATTATAATGTGTATGCAAGAGAGTCAGTCAGTTTAAAGCAAAACACACTCGGGCCCATACATAACACATTCTCAGCATTCGTCTATTAATAGGCGCGGCCGCGTGCGGGCGCGAAATGTGCACGAGTGTGTGAATGTGTGCCGCTTGTTTTTCAATTAAACGAATGTGCCTGTGCGAGTGTACACACATAATTCTCTCCAATGCTACATTTAGCGCTCGCCAACTGGACAATTTTCACATCAATCCTCTCGCGGCCTGTCAGAGAAAAACAAACCGCGCGCGAGCGACGAGTTCTCTCGCGGCTCGACAAACAGTCGTGAGAAGAATTCGTTTGCCACTCCGCGCATTTTGATTTAATAGTTTATTTTACGTCACACTCAAAGTCGCCGACTTATGTTCGCTTGGAAAGCAGTTCTGTACATGATCAAGCCGTGCTTTAAATATTCAAATATGCGTTTTATTAAAATTACCATACAAATTTTACTCAATTAGATTTATAAAGTAATTTTCATATATTTCTTTTTAAAATAAGAATTTTCAATGTCATATACTTTTTAAAATTTATTATAATAGAATACAAGTCAAGTTTTTTAAGCGAAATACTTTTTCTAATTTTGTTTCTTAAAATCCAAGTATATCAAAATATTAAAAAAATTATATCTGGTTTATTTTGATTTACTCTGATTGTAATTTAGAGAACCCCATCGATAGAAATACATTTTGAAACACTAACTCTTCTCACTGGATCGTCTGAATATTTAGGCCTACAATCTTCAAGTGCTGTTAATTAAGCAGTTGATGATCAAAATGAATGACAAAAATGATAATCATAACATTGAAGTATCTTTGTTATTTAAATTCCCATTTGATAATTAGAAATTAATTTAGCAAGTAAATAATAAATATGACATTCTTTTTTTCCTTCCCTATTCATATTTTTTATCCCTTCTCTCACTATGTAATTATTTGAACCCACTATTCTTCTCACTTCTTTTTCTCTTTTGTAATTAATTCAGAATAATGAGTTTATTAAAAGCTCTCAGTTTAGTTGTAAGCCCTTTTTTCTCTTTTTTCCAATTTAAATTTTTGTATATTGAACGAGAATAATATGTAATAATAATAATTTTTGAAAATGATAAATTTCAAATTTTAATACAAATTTACAACTTAATATTAAATCATTCTAAAATTTAATTTAATGTTTTTTTATTTAAACTTTTTGTCATTAGAGCAGTTTCAAGTTGCTCTGCATAATCTATGTTTACAAAGTTCATCCGTACCGATACAAACTCTGAACTTTGGCATCTAGTTTACAATTAATTTCTGTAATTAGCGATATCGTGGGTATGGAAACTGGGAGGTTGAACTTGTGTCGGCAGACGTCGGCGATGCCGTGTGTCACGCTATAATGAGGTCAATTATCAAGCGCAATTACACACATTATCAGTTTACAACATAGGAGTTAGTTCGCCGCGGCCAGTGTGTTTTTCTCGCGCCCTCGTCGCCGCATTAACGCACATAAACATGCATAACTCATCTCCAAACGACTATTTTAGCACTAAAGGGACGTCCTCATCCTCGAGGTTGGCACGTTTGCGAGTTCAAAAAACCGGCAGTGACGATAAAACAGGTGGACGTTGCTTTGTTAAAATTTAATTGCCGTGACCTGGAAAAGTCCGGTGTAATTTTTTTACCTGCAGATAAAGTTTATCAGCAGAAACACAGCCGGCTGCATTTTTCACACAGAAAAAAGGCATGAATGTTTAGAATTGACTATAATAAAGTGGAAATTAAAATAAAAATATCCCTGAAATTTGACCAGTTGATAAAATTTCACGTATTGTAGGAAGACTTTTTGTGCCATTTTAAGAAACAGTGCATAAATGCAGTTCTGCCAACCCGAAAAACGTAGTCTGGAATATATACACAACTCTTTTTGTGAAGGTGATCAAATTATATGGAAAGGCATTTCGCAAGTTCAACAACATTTCGCGGAATCACGTCCCGCGCCTGCATTCCTGGTCGACGTCGAAGCGGCTCATTAAGCGGCCCGAAATTAGGGTCAGGGGTCGAGGTCACCTACCTTTGACGGTGAAGTGGCGTGGCCGGTGTGTTGTGGGTGTGCGCTCGAATGCAGCTGCTGTGCTCGGGAGCGGATCTGGCCGCAGACTGAGAGACGAGCCAAGACATGGGCCCAACTCGCGGACTCCTCGCCTCCTCCGACCACCAGTGGGGAGGCGTCTGCGCGTCGCCCCCGCGCTGCTGCCGGCGGTACCCTCACCTGAAAAATCAGGTCTCAATAAATTGAAAACTGTTGCACAGTTACAAAATTTATAAATAAATTAAGTTACTTCAATTTCAAAATAATATTTTGTAGTTGTTATAAAATACCACAGGATACAAAAAAAAAATTAAAATTAAAAATCCGGTCTCATTAGAAATAAAAACAAATTCTGAAACAAATTAGCTAGTTTTGTTACAAATTATACTTTAGTTTAATAAAATATCAACAGGCAATTTCAGCCCTAATAACATGTCATTTTCATGATCAAAATAAGACAAAGTAATATACAAGCAAAAGTGGAAAATCGTAATAAAACCTTCTTAATTTAAATAAAAAAAAACATAATTTTCAAGCACTTGTTTTTAATGGAAGCATAATAAAAGTATCCAAATCTATGGAAAAATGTGCAAAATAATTTTTTTATACTAGAATGCGACTAGAGTAAGAAAGTGAGGATCAATGTCTTGCTTAAAATTGAAATGTTAAATTACATCTAAATTTTCAATTTCGAATTAATGATATTAAACAATTTTATTTCAACATGTATCTAAAATAAATTTTTATTTTTTTTTAACTTGATACGTATCAGAAGTAAATTTAAATTTGAAAATATCAAAATATGTACATATAGTTAATGTAAAGTAAAGCGCATTTTACTTTCTTATAATTTTATGTGAAAAATAAATTTTTATTTGAATTTATGACTAGTTTTCTGTAGTAACTTTTGTTTGTTCATTATTAATGGTTTTGCACTAAACAATAAATATTTTACAATTTGTTTAAAGCAAGTAAACGTAAAAGTACCATACGCTTTTGAAAAGGAACTTTTATCTTCTGTACTATTTTCCAACTGCAAAGGAAGGGTTCTGTGAAGCTCATTATGAGCGCGGACCATCATCTCGTGAATAGCCTCAGTTTGTACTATACAATAACGACGGCAAAAAACGCAACAAACATTTTTCATGAGGCAGCTCGGAACAATTTTTCGCTGCTGGTTACGACTTGATGGATGCCAGTTTGGCCAATGCGCGCTGCTCGGAAACACATCCCGCGGGCAAAGGGGCGCGTAAAAGGCGACGACTTCGGTGAAGCGCAGTAAGGCGGTGCAACAACCTGACCCCCTCACCTATATGCAACCGGCCAGACGTGAGCTCTGCTACATACGTTGCATTATAGCGCACCAAGAAAAAGTTGTGTTGATGCTGTGGTGCAGCTCCGGGTCTTATGAAAGTGCCGGGCGCGATAAACCGGAGACAATCTCTCGACACCCAATAATCGGCCATTTATGCCGCGTGCGACGTGTGCTGCGGAAAATGGCTTTTAAGTCAAGAGAGAAAGACGGCGGTGGAGCTCAAACAATAAACAGCGTAGAAAACACTATGCATGTATCTACCTGTTTCATAATAATATTAACTGACGTTAACTATATTTTACAAATTTAACGCAATTTTTTTCAAAGTTGAATTTTAAATGGCAGCCTTAAATTAAGCAACCATTTTTTTTTTCTTTTAATTAGAGGATTTATTAAACGCACTAGGTATACAACAGGAGTTTACATTAATGGCACATATAATTATATAATTATATTCTTGATTTTTTTATTTAGCAAGTTCAGTGACCAAAAATAGTATGAGTTGAGTATTGCAACTTACAATTAACTAATTGAAAGCTTTCAAAAACCAATAAATTGTCAGATTTATTTGTCTTAAAGAAATCCTTGCATTTTCCGATCAGATTTCTACAGTAGTAGTTAATAAGAGTAAATCTATATACAGAAGTGATTCTCGTTTGCCGTTTGGTAATCCCGCTCACGTATGTGTGCGCTTGCAAAATAAATGTTAATTCCGCAGAATTGTTTAAATCGATCTCATCTCCCGCAATGTTTAATCCGTTTGGATGCAGATGCGAACAAATACAGAGGCGCAGTTCTTGCGAAACCAGCTCACACCACACACACGGGTGTAATTATCATCCCCGGTCGCTTTGAGTTCTTTTGCAACACTCCCAGCGCTGGCCGGGTCATTTCTTTCTCATTCAGATCCGGTGCAGAACGCAAATTGCTCTGTAATCATTTGACGAGCACAAACACAAACGGTTTAGATTGGGTTTTGTTTGACTTCACGGTCGGCAGAGACTCGATTTGTTTTAATTACAAATTCACTTTGATGCGACGTTGGCTTTGCGACCTTTTAATTTATAAGCAAAAAGCATGTGCAGAATTGATATTTTTTTTTATAATTTTCCATACGCCCACCACCCTATCAAAGTTTGCTTTCCAACACATGTTCAGTTATTTTTAATTGTAAAAACAATGTGGTTAATACAATTTAGATTGATAGATTGAAAAATAATTCTATTAGTAAATAACAAAAAATATTTTATTACAGGACATAAAGCAAATTTTAAACAATGCAATTGATTTTCTATTCTGGAGCATAATTAATAAATGAAACGAAGTCATCATTGTTGCCGACAATCAAAACCAACAATCATTTTACAACAAGAGTCAATCATAAGTTATTAAAAAGTTGATTGTTGCATTTTTGATTCCAGAATTCGTCCTGTCCTGGACTTGTCGTTTTTCTTATTTTTTGAATTTAGTTTGTCTTCGGAGAATGTCAAGCCACCAGGAAAGCCTGCTGCTCCAAAGCAACATCGACGACTTCAAAGGCAAAATAGCTTTGCACTTCGAAGGCGTCAAGGAAAATATGGAGCAGTACACAGCCTATCTGCTTGGAAAGAGCGGATCAAGGAAAGAAACCACAAGTTCGCCCACTGACAATGAGACGGAGGAGGAGGAGGAGGAGGAAGCCCCAAGGAAGCCAGATGAAAGGGCACCTTCTCAATTCGCAGAGGCTTGGGAGGCCCTTTTGATATTCATTCAGGTCATTGCAAATTTCTCAATATTTGTGATCAATTTTTTTTTTTTTAAATTTATTATAGGTCTGGATGGTTCGTCTGAGTGCCAGACTCCCAATGGGCATTTGGAACGGTCTTGCTTTGCTTGGCTTTGCCATATTTTCCATCATGTACTTCTGTTGGCTCACGAACAGCTTCATATGCAAGTGCGACATGACCAATCCTAACTTCTGGTGTCTTTTTGTCACCGAGGAACATCTGGACCCTTTAGCCGATTCTTGCACCTGATTATATAATCTTTTTTCGCTGTTTTTCATTTACTCTCGCTGTATTAAACTCGCAGATTATAATTTGAAAAAAAAATGCAAATCTTGCTCCAGATTTTCGCGTTTTTACTGCCTCTAGAAATACATAATAATCACCTTGCGAGATTGCCTTGCGCTGCTCCTCCTGATGAGCATTGTATTTGCATTACCCGTGGGTTGCACATGGGAGATTGCGAGGGGCTATTGGCAAGAGCAGACTCATTTTCGCGCGCACTGGCTTTGTCTATAAACAAAGTTTCTCATTAGCTCTCTCTGCAGAATGGTGCAGAGTCAACACCAGCAAAAAGTTGAGTTTCTCTGAGCACCTTCCTTTATACTCTATTTACTTGTCAAAGCGTTTCGTAGTTGTGAAAATAACTAAGTGAATCAATTTACCGCACTTGTGAAAAAATTAAATTATTAAAAATAATGCTATTATAATTAATTGCAATTTTCTCGAATGCTCAAAGTTTAGTAAAGTCATTTCTTACTTCGCTTTCATAATGAAGTAAAATATAATTTTCAATTTTTATTATGCTTTGTATTTTGTTATAAGTTAATTTGCTGATGTTAAAGTTTATAATTTTCTATTTTGTCAATTATTTATTTTAAACTCATAACATGATTTAAAAGTAAATTCTTTTTAGATAAATTAAATCATTTTTTTTCGTTACTATGTTTAACTTTCAAATAAGATGAAAATGGTGTTAAAAAAGTTTATTTTAATTTCATTATTACAACTTTGACATTAAATTTATTTCAAAGTTTCACAATTATTTTTCATTTTTTTTTTAAATAATGATAATACAGGTTTTTATTTAATTTTGATCATCTTTTAATTTTGTTAAAGATATAACTGAAATGCTAAAATTTATCCAGAAATTCTCAAGCTCAGCTTTTTCATTCAGAAAATCTTCTTGGAATTTATGGCTAGACCAAATTTATAAATATTTTATTTACAAAGAGGCAGTTGAGAAGCGAGGGAATTAATAGCAGCGCTGCTGTTTTGCCTTTGATCTACAAGCCTCAAAAGCATGTTCAGGCCGCTCTGCTTTGCATTTGAGAACTGCGCACACAAATATCAGAGCCGAGAATTCCCATCGTTGTTGGCCGCGCACCGCTAAAGTGAGTTTTGTTGCCAGCGAGACACTCCACAGTTTGCTCTTTGCTTGTTTCGAAATTGCACCCAACTTTGAAATGAGGTTTTGCCATTATTTTGTAACCCATGCTCGCAAACAATTTTAAATTCAAAGAAATTCTTGCGGTTCATTAAATGCGCTCGGCACAAGATTAGTTGCCTCGATTTTGTAGGCTTTAATTTTGAATAGCTCAATATTTAATTAGACAAGACGTTATAGTTGTATTAAATAAATACTCAGTTGTGTGTAAAATTGTTCTATCATTGTAAATTATAATGAAATAATATATCATTATCTATTATTTTTTTGAAAGAAACTAATAATAAAATTTCTCAGACGCCATTGATAAATTCAAAATTGGATTTGACAAGACTCGTAGCTCGTATGTTCCGTCTAGTACCAACTTAAAAAAGGGTATAATTTGAAGCAAAAGTTACAAGAATACTTTTCACATTAGCGCACTCGCAATCTAGGTAAGTTGCCAAGTCACTTTGAAGCGGCCTTCTCGAAACTTTACAAGAAATGCAAATTCACCGCTTCTTGTGAGAAAGAAATAAATGAGACTGAAATTATTTCATTTCCTAGTCAATTAGG